TATGTGTTACTTTGTATGCGAGAGTATACAGTTCTGCATTGGTTTTCTGTCATTTTCAATTTCTGTTGCAGCAGTGCATTGTAGCCATGTCTCTGAAAACATATATCCATGCCATATGTCAGTTGTGTCGATGTGATGTTTCAAAGTCTCAGCTTTACTGTATGAACTACCAAGAATTTTGTTCAAATCCTCATCCTTCATTAACTTGGTAAATGTCTTTTCCCCTTTGGCTTTAATGCCATCCACCATGTTCCCAGTGCTCAGCAAGGTTTTTAGGAAGAAAATAATTGATCTCATCTCTTAAGCTGGGATTCATCTCACCTAACTTCAGATTTCTCACAGTTAGATGTCTAGGTCTAAGTTATTTGCTATAGATTTCCCATATGGTGAAATAGATTATTTACGTGATCAATCTTGTTTTCTCCATTGATTATGAAGGAAGCCCAGGATGCATAGATTTAGATGTCTTAACCTTCAGATACCTAAATTAGGAACAGAGTAATCCTGTCTTTAATGAAGACATTTCAAGGTCACGGGTCACCCTGTGAGAACAGAAGCAGCATAGACCACTTGCAGTTAATGACAGTCTTAATGGAAAATAAAAAGGTGAGGCCAAAGTGAATGTGAAGACTGAACTCCTTTCTGCTTTAGTGGACATGTCGCACCGAACCTATCGGTTGAGTGGTGCTTGACTCTTGCTTTTCAAACTCTGCCAGTTGTGGGTATAAGTCAGAAACCTTACAGGCAGTAATTCTGTCCTAACCATTTCACTTACTGATTAGGGAAGGGTAAGGGAAGCCTTAGAGATGCTCTATATTCAACAGCTTGAGGTTCCAAGGGACAACTGAAAGTGATGGTCTGTCAATCACTTCTTTTTGGTCAAAACCTTCCTGGAAAACCCAGTTGTAGGAGATGGGATGATGGTGCGAAGTAAGAGCATTGTCCTCAAGGGAATCCTCAGGTTGGTGGATCTGCTGTATCACCCAAGTGGCAGAAAGCAAAGTAGAACAGGCCTGATGGTCACATCCTTTGTTAACAGTTTCCCCGATGAATTTTGGGAGAAAAAGGTAATCACATTTCTTTCAAAGAAATTCCATATGAACTCTGCAGACTATGGTAACTAGATGTGTGATAATGACCTGGTGTCCATATTTCATAATTTAGTTATGCATTTAAACTGTTATGTTAGAGCTACTTTTTTGCCATGATTAAAGAATCTTTGTTTCACTGAGCCCAGTATTAATGTACTCCAGATTCTGTTTCTTTAGAAGAGTAACAGATGTTCACAGTTTGGTGCAATTTTCAGATGAGCAATGCTGTTTTTAATGAATTTTCCTGAGACCACCCAACTCATTTCACTTGTAACTTGAACTATGTCCAAGTGTTGAACTCAGGAGATGTAAAAGAGATGTAATAATTCTGTGCCCCACCCAGTTCAAAAGACATGACTTAGTATAGACGGAATTTAAATATCTATACTTCCAATCAACATAGAAAGTCAAAGTTTTATCTTGCATGCCGTGAAAAATGGAGGTGGAAATAACAACTTTCTTGCTTTCATTCACCGAGTATTCATAGGGTCTGAAGATGTATATTGACAAGATCTGAATGAAATAAAATTATAAAACAAAGATGTACAGGTGAAAAAGCACAACACAGCAAGTAAAAACAAAGAAATTAAGATTTATCCTGAAAAATGCAGATTTATTAAACATGGAAAAAAATCAGAAACGCAGTATTAAATATAGCTTGGGATGAGGTGTAGGGATGCAACAGAATGCATCATGTCTTGTTAGAAACAGCTGCAATAAATTTTGTGCTGCGTTAACCAAAACATAGCGTGACTTAGATATGTCTCTATCTGGGACATTATATTTAGTGTCAAGCATTTAACAGCAAAACTTGTGTTGATAGGGTTTAGGGATGTTAGAAAGCAAGTATGAAGAACTTTGGGTGACGGGAAGTGAACCTTTAATTCATGTCTCTGCATTTATAAGAAGTCCTAGAGACTCAATCATATCAGTTTTGTGAAGGTATGGAACAACTCCCGAAGGAAAAAAGAAGCTTTTGAATGACTTGAGACCATGAAAATTAAACTGAATCGACAGTATTTGTACTGAATGAAACAGATGTTTTTTCTTTCCTGATACTTATTGTATTTTATACTTAACATTTAGTGCAGTGTTATTTTGAGACTATAAACTGAGAACTCAGAAAAAAGTATTGAAAGGTTCCTATGGCAACCATAGTGTGCACATTATCTATATGAACATTATGATTATGGTAATGTGATGTCATAGTATTGAGTCTTGCTGTTTGGCAGGTATGTATTTTACAATATGAGTTAATTGATGAATGTAAAGACACTTATAAATGGCATTAAAATCTATGATCTGAAATTTTTTTTGGAAGAGAATTGCCCTACTGCATGATACAAGTAATTTCTTTAAAATTCTTTAAAGCACCTTGTCTGGAGGGTTCTGAGCTGCATTTTTCTATGTGGTTTTTAGGGACAGTGAATACTCAGCCCTGTCCTCTGACAGCAATCGTTCTCCAGTCAGAAGATGAGGATTTTCATAATTGTGTGCAGTTGTGTCACAACAGCTAATGTGTGAATACGCAGATTGACGGGTTGCTGTGATCCCCCGGCTCTCAATGGCTTTTGTGTTTTCTTAACTGCTTGCCAGCAATGAAGATGCTATTTCAGCATCTTCCTTTCAGCTGTAGCCAGAAATACCAAATGCAAAGGAAACAGTGCTGCTATGAAGACTGCTGAAAGAGATTTTTTTTTAGTTAAAAATAAATTCCTTAATCATTGCACCTCACTGTTATCTTTTTTCCCCTCTCTTTTTTGACTAGCAACTAATGGCAAACTGCCTTTTCAGTAATTCTTGTGTGTTGGTTGTTAATGAAATTCCAGACTTTCTCATTTGGAAATGAAAAAATATTTTGTTAGTGCCTTGGTTACACATGCCAATATTAGAAACTGTCTGCTTTTTATAGTCTTATAATAGTCTTGACCTGAATATGTCCCTGACTTTTGAAGAGTGATCTCTCTTGCTCTACAACAAAAGGCTTATGCTTTTAAGCCTGGACTTAAAATCTTCTCTACCTCCACTTCTTATTTAGTTTTAAAATAATCTTCTGAGGAAATCAGTTGCTTCATTTTTTTTTGTTTCTGTTTTTCTTTGCAAAAATAAGATAAATGTTGAAATTTATATTAGAAAACATATGGGATGTAACCTTTGTTCCTGCTTTAGCTCTGTTTCCCAGGAAATGAATCAGAGCAGCATGAAAAGGATCTAAAGCTCCTAGATCTGGTGCAGAAAAAGTGAAGGCAGGTCTAAAAACTGTCTTTTAAGGCAATGACTGCTAAGGACATCTTACAAAGCTGTGGTGTGAGAGTTTTGGGGGGAGTGGAGTCTGAGTAAAATGGGAACCTTTTCGTGGGTCGGCAGTATGCAAACCTGGAGGAATTGTCATCTGGGCAATTCCGCAACCTTACTCACAGTTACTCAGGAAGGCTGTATTAATTTAGACAATCCATTCCCATGGGGACCACGAATAGTTCCTGGGGTTGTCAGATTGCTTGTCATCCAGTGGCTGCGAAGGTGCCTTGGAAGTCCCTGGACTTCTGCCACCTGGGCTGTGAGCGTGGGCAGATGCAGTTCCCATCTGCACAGGCGTGCAGCTGTAACCGTGCCGCATGGCAGGTGCGTGCCTGCTACCTCTGCTAGTGCTGCTTTTTGAGGGGAAGAAGAGCTCTAAACCCCTTAGCCCAGTATATCCTCACCTACCTTGTAAGTCCTGCTGTCCCATTATTTATTCGTGGAGAAACATTTGACTTCAGAGCACTGGATTTATGAAATAAGAGCAAAGTATTCAAGTATTGCATTTTTGTCAGTTGTTTGTAATGATAAAGCTTTGTGATGTTACTAGTAAACTATAGTGTCACATTGTGGTACTGCAGCTATTATTAAAATTGGACTAACTGTGTCTTCCTATGGGTAGGGAGATTAGTTTAGCACATGCACCAATTTGGCAAAAACCCCACATTAACTGTACTTAGTTTTGCTCTCGCTTTCTCTGTAAAGTTGATATGGCCTGGCCATGACTATATGTTTTTTAATTTGCTACCTTCTTTAAGGCCTCTTTTGTCTTCCCTTAAAAGTATGGCTTCTGTATGTTTCCCTTATGTGATCTTAACCTTGCATGCTGCTGATAATGACTTTGAACTAGAACTGGTTGAGAATTTTCCTTCAGAACGAATTTCAACTATAAATGTCTGTAAACAAAGAAATTTATCAAAAAAAGAAGCTTTGCTGATTTTTTTGAAAAAAATACCTTTTCTAATAGGAAAATCAAAGCATACTATTCTGTTGTGTTTAGTTTGGCCTGATTGACAGTATTTTATTTTACAAAATTGACCTCAAGGATTTTATCTTTGAGTTAGTTGAAAAAGCAAAACCAAAACTCTTGAAACTGTATGGCGCACTGAAACTATTCCTGATAAGTGATAATTAATAACAAGTGATAATTTTTGCAAAACTTTTTTCCCCTGAAAAAAATACTGAGTTAATTTCTTCAAAAATAGCTGAGTTCTGTGTGTGAGTGACAGATATAAGCACATTTTGCCTGTGTTTCTAAAGACTTCCAAAAAAAGAATGTGCTTACAGGTGTTTGGTCAAGTGTTGAGATGCTCCTGTCCTCCTGTTGTGAAAGGGACAAATACGTTACTCAATACTTGTCATATTAAGAAATAGCAAGCAAGGGAACATTACTTATTTCATAAAGAAAGATGATGTTAGCTTAAATACAACCAGGAGATGATAGAAGCCACAGGAACAAGTGAGAGTGTGGTTTTGTCATACACCAATACTAACAAAGCATTAGAAAATATTGGTAACCAAGACTGTGAAAGATCCAAAAAAAGTTAACATGTTTATACTTTTATTTTATACAGCTATATCCAATTTCAAAATTTGTCCCTCTTCTTTCAGAATGATCAGTCTATGCAAGATATGCAGATAATGGGAGGAGATGATCTTTCAAAGCTGACTGGGAAGGTTTGTTAATTTTAAATTTAAGAAAGAAAATACATCCACTAAAAACACTTGATAAAAGCTGTGTAATTTTGCACATGGACTGTCAGATACTAATACTGGAATCAAAGAAATTTATTAATTTCTATTAAATTGCTGTAATGCCATTGCTTTCAGATTGCAGATGCCCAAAAAGGTCAGAATGTAGCCCCTCCATCCTAGTGTAGGGATTTCCCAATAGTTGAATATGTACTATCAGTGACATTGTGGGCAAAATTTGTGCTGGAATGCTTCCCCTGAGCTTGTTTATGTCTTGGAGCCTTGTTTTTTTCTGCCTTCAATGGGTACATGCAGGCAAACTGCATGTTGAGTATCCCTGTTGAATTCAGCTTGTGAGGAGTTTAATACAATTTTGCCTACTACACAAAGTTCAGTTGTAGAACCTTTCGCTCAGATAATCGAATGGGAGTTTTTTTATTTCAACATCAGGCTGGCTGTATGACTGAATTTGCTTTGCACTATGCTTGAATGTTGTGGTAATGAGAGTGATCTGAGTCAGTGAAAAGGCTATTTTCATCCAACCATGGTAATACAAAGCAGTACTTTGAAGAGGAAGGAAGGCTTATTTCATTAGGCAAATGGTCTATGTGGAAAATGGTCAGAAATGGATTCTTAACTTATGCATTAAGGCAACATAATACTTATCTTGTTACTTGTACTGTATGTGCAATTACTCTTCTATTAGCTGGCACTAAATAATATCAGTTTTTTCAAAGCACTCAAATGTAGCACTAGCAAACTCATTTGTTTTGTTGCACAGTAGCACACAAGAAAAAGAAGAGAAAAACTTAACTTTAAATATTTTATTAATATTAAATAGGCTTTGATGCAACTAGAACTTAAATTTAAAAAGTGGTGTTAGAATATTTTAGTGATATGTATGTCCTCAATTTGCACTTCTAAATACTCCTGCTGGGTGTTTGTTTCCAAATTATCACTAAAGCGTTAATCATGTTCTTGGGAAATATTAATTCATTTCCTACTTTCTAATATTCAAACACTGGAGCTACCTGCTTTTCTGTGATGATTTTGAATGTTTCTCTACCTCACAGGCAGAACTGGCAGTGCACCTATTCATCTTACCTAACATTTCTCTTTCCCAGATAGTCCAAAGAGTTTCTACGCTTCCAGGCCCAGCTCCCTTTCCCCATCTTCCAATCCCAAATTTTCTTGATGAATGGTTTGACTTATTAATATATTTTCCAGACATAATCTTTCTAGTACCATTTGAATTCACTGGGGCAAAACATTATTTTCTTTCACAGGACTTTTGTGTATTTGTGTGTGTCCACATGTGTATGAGGGAGAAGGAAAATTTCACCCCAAGTAGTTCTGCTCTTTCCAAAAATGAAATCAATTGTTTTCTTATGCCGAAAATCCCAGTGACCTTTTCCTCATTGGCACTGCCCTCCTGTTCTCAGGTGTGGAACAGGACATAAAATTTGGCTGTTGGGAGGCCAGGAGATACTTGGTGGGAAGACTGAACAGCGTCATAGTTTAAGATTGCTGGGTAAGGAGGCTGGGATCTTGGGAATGAAGGTGGTTGCTGATGAGGAAGGGAGCCCAGTGCTGGAAGCTGGGTGTGGAGAGGCCGAAGTGCAGGAGGAAGGGAGGGCTGGGACTGCAGGGGAGCAGAGTTACTGACAGGTCATATTCAGCAGTTGTTTGTATGTGTGGTTGTCTGTGACACAGCTGATGTATGAATAATTAAATAGCATTTCCACTATAACACCTGAGAATGGGGTTTCCTTAATACTTATTGTACTGATTGAAAAGCTGGGATGCAAAGCTTGAGCTCAAATGTTCATACTTACACATCTAAAGTTGGATATATGAAGGAGTGGCCTTATGTCCACGGATGCCAACTCCTCCATCTGTTATTGACTTAAGCAATTAGTGCAAGTATTCAGCACATTTTACTAATCAGCCATTTGCGGACTGATTCAGAGCCTCCTACAGTCAATGTAAATCTTCCCTTGGAGTGTTTTTTAGTACCTTAGTTTAGCTGCTATCTTTTAAAACTTCTGGCTTTCGTAACCATTCTAAGTCACTGAGTGAATTAGTGGAAGACTTACTGACAGAATTCAACTTCCCTGCTTTTAAGTAAGCTGGGTGCTTCTGCCTGCTTGGAGTACTTATGAAGAAAAGATTGTAATTATATTGAAAAACTAATATGCCAGGTTAAGTCCCATTAACTTAATGACCATGGAAGGTGTTTTCAAAAGTGCTAGCATGGGCTCAGAATGTAAAGTTCCATTAAGTTTCTGTAAAGTTCAAAAGCATCAATAACATAAGCAGTTATGAAACCTGCAGAGAAAAGATTCTGAGATTTTGATCTTAAAGTTCTCTTCATTAAGTAATAATACCTGGAACCTCAGCTAGCCTAGAATCTTTGTGAACAACTCAATCATCTCCATGCCTTACTTATTATTGGAAAAAAAAAAAATTACTAAGTATATTATTGAACATGCTGTTCTATACCAATGTTTTTTTCTGAGGAAGCTTAAAGAAAGCAAAAAATTTTAAAAGCTAATTAAAAAGAGGCTGTTAAGGATAATAGCCCTTCTGAAGGAATAATATCTCCTCTGTACTTCTCTACAATATGCTTTTGTTCATAAAAATATTATAAGCCTGGGAAGAATGTATAATGACCCAAACCATGAAAAAGAGAAATATTCTTAGAGAGAGGAGAGTTGGCATACAGACTTAAACTGTTACCTGAAGAAAATCATCCACAATTTGAAATTCTTCTTCTGTGAAGAAAGTCACAGAGGCAAGAATGAAGAGTTCCATGGCATGAATCATTAATAAAGGTACTTGAAGAATGAGTCCTGATATAAAGACTCTAATGCTTTGTAACTATTCATTTCTATGCAGAAAAAGAATAATTTCAAACTCTCTCCCTTAACGATGTAAGTGGTGATCATAAAATTTCTCAGTAGCTGATTTCATAGTTAAGTAGCTGCTTAGTTTTCAATTACTTTAAAGCTGAAATGCTCATTTGGGTAGAAAATATCGTTAACGTTTGTAAAGAGGAATACATTTTGAAAATGGGGAGATAATTAATAACTGTCCAGAAAACTAAAGGCACCGTTTCAAAGCAAGATGGCTATGAAAATTTATGTAGATGAGGAGAAAGAACAAATAATATAGCCCTGTTTAGTATTAATAGTGTAATCGTACCGTATAATATTGTAAAAATTTGTAACATATTTTAAAGTATTTGTGGCATTTATACAAAGTAAATTTTAAAACGTCTAGAAACTTCAGTAGATTCATCTGTACCAGAGTTGTGAGTTATCACTGCCATTTACCTCTTATACTCCAAGAGCTTTGGAGCTGGTTACATAGTCCAAAGTCTCTACTCATAGCAATCTTTCTATATATCATTCCATATGTAATATGTCCTGTAACCTTTCAAAAAAGCTCCTATACCACTTTGATGTGTCTCCTTGCAAATGAGACAAGTTAGACAAAATCATAAACTTAGAGTTTGTATAATTTTGCAATTAAATACTTATTACAGTTGTATGATGTATTTGATGTCAAAATTAGACCTATATATTTTTATCATTATCACTATTTCTACATAACATAGAACGTGAACAAAATTAATCCTTCTTACTTGTTAGGTTAATAAGAACTTCTAATTAAAACAAAGTAGTTATGTAGTTAGTATGATATAATTATGGAGCAAGTGAATTTCTGATATTCCATCTGTCTGTAATATGGGTCAATGCCTATGTTCTTTAAGAAAGACTGTTTCCCTTGTTCATATTAAGTACATCTTGTTGACAGCCAGTGGTTTTTGCATTTTTGGAGAAGGGTAGAAGGTAATAAATAGCAATCAAGAAAAAAAGAAAGTGAATGTCTTATATTCTCTCTGCACTTCATTGTGTTAGTTTGAGCGCTCCATCACTACTCTGATGCTCTCATAAAATGACTAAGCAGCTCATATCAAAAAGAGGTTTCACTCAGAGGAAAATATCCACCATGCAGCACGCCACTTCCTTCTGGCAGGATTTGTGCTATAAAATCTCCAAACTTCCTTTATATGTCTCACCTAAATCAATTTCTCCACTGTCTACCATTTTCTTGCCCCACTTGTCTTATGGGAATGTCTCTCATTTTTTCTCTTATTTTACTGAACCATTTTCTCTGCATGTCATAGGTTCTAACAACAGTTCTGAGGGCTGTTGCTCTAGCGTTCTCCTAAATATGTTAGCATTTCAGTATTTAATAAACCATACATGTGGCAGCTGTGTAACACAAAGTTTTATTCTCTAGATTTAAAATACATATTATCCTCTCCTTCACCATTCCAGGTTTGTTTCTCAGAATTCTGTTGGGTCTGTACTTACTATTTTTTTCTCCTTCAGTATTCACTGCCTTGACTAATGTGCTTTCTCTCCCTATATGCATTCCTTTCTGGAATAATGCCCATAAATTTGCAGAAGAAAAATAATGGCATTCTCTTTAGAACATTATGTACATGAAAGACTATTTATATGATGGTAAAGGTATACAAAATCCACTATACACTTCTGCAATAGTCATGTCCCCCACTCATCTCTACATCTTACTGTATTCCTATCAGACGTGCAGCCTTGCCTTTTTCATCTTTTCAAAGGTTGATTTTGTGTGTCTTGAAGCATTCCCCACATCTTCAATACCTCTACTTAGCTGCCATCTTTAGCCACTTTCGTTGTTCAGCATTTTTTCTTAATTAGATTGATTTTATACTGTTTACTCTTCTGACAGTTGCCATCTGTAACTGCTTTTTCCACAGCAAAAGACATTTTTTTTTTCTTCCCCAAAGTCAGTCACCTTTCTTTGCACTTCCTTCTTAGGTAATCTGTTCTACTGTTCATCATTATTTTCTTTTTTGTTGTTGTTCTAGAGGAAGGAAAGTACAAAGAAAACCTCCCAGCCTTCCTATCCCATTTTTCACATGGGCTCTGCTC